CAGCTGTAGCTGAAGCTTGTTGAGGAGTTGAGGGAGAAACAACTTGAGACTGAGGCTGACTAGAGACTTGTACGATTTGAGCGCCTGCCGCGTGAGCTATGGAGGCGGCAGCCTGTGTAGGGTTCTGATGGACAACATGAACCTGGTTTGCTTGCAACTGAGCTTGCTGAATAAGTTGTTGCTCCTCTTCCACAGTCGCACTAAGAATAGTTGACTGGGCAGGCTGAGCAATTGCAGCGTCTATAGTGGTGGCAGTTGGGGCCAGCTGTTGGGTGGTATAAATAGTCTGCTGGGCCTGAGGACTGGGCATAAACATTATCAGTTGACCGCCAGGACCAGAAGTGGCCAACTGAACGGGTATCAAGCTCCCATCACTAGATTGAACAGCAAACGTTGTCGGCTGGGCGCCACCGCTAGGGTCGACGAGTAAGGATTGCTGGAGAGGTTGAAGAATAGTGTGTGCCTGAACAACTTGCCCAGGATGAATATAGCCCTCCCTAAAGATGTTGGGCAAAAAAATATAATGTTGCATGAAAGCACATAGAAGAAGAAGGAAAAGAGCATAAGATCACTTACATGGGGAGATGAATAAGACAAGACGACCAATTCTAGAAGCGGAGGTAGTTCGTATGACGCTGCCGAAATGGAATCCAGTTCATTCAAACGAAGCCCAATTATTTGTCTTTTCAAGATTAAGATAAATGTGTCGAAAATATCTTATGCTTATGAAAATGCATACTATAATCTCTTAACTTACTTTAATTGGTAGCTTTTGGGTACTGTTTGTTCATTGGTGCATAGAAAATTTGGTGGTTCCCCATTGGGCCATACTCACATGTGCATCTCGATGATAGGTCAATGTTTACTAGATGAACGATTAGCTGCAAATCAAACAGCGTATGGTAGCTACGCCAAACTCGTCAGCTCTTAAAGAATTGGACAATCCAAGTCAAGTTGTATGAGGTAGAGCTTAGTGGTCTTTAAAGAAGGCCAATGAAGATCCAAGATTAGTATTCGAGTTAAGATTTTGATTGTGTACGAACCAATCAGCCTAAACGAGATAAAAACGAATAAGAATATATTATTTTGGTATCATATATGGTTAAACAGATAAATGGTATTAAGTTTAAATCTTAATCTTGGTTTTGATGTTTGTCAAGGTGTGCAAGAATGTTAATTAATGTGCCAAATTCTAAGTATAGTAGACCCTTTAATTAACGTAGATTTTATTCATACTTTGCATTTAATGGTTACATACTTTAATTCTAATCGTTACTTAATAAAGTTGCTTTACTCATCTTGTGCATATAATGTCTAAGTTTAAGCTTCCGATTGAATAAAGAATTGTAAGAAAAGTCGAATACCTTCCACTATGTATTCTAGCTTAGTGTTTATTTTGACGGATAATAAAGTGAACTGACATTCTCTTACATTTAAGATTTCCGATTGTAAGCATTTGGTTTCCATAGGTGACATAATCAATTGAAATATTTTCTCATCGCTATATTCTATGCAAATACCAAAAAACAACTCTTTAGTGCATATACCTATAGTTCATTAAGTATTTGGGGAGGACACTTTATTTAATCCTATAGTATTTAATCTGTTACTAAATTTGATTTCCGGTATAACTTATAAATACGAGTCGTCGAGACAAATTGTAACATTATTTTCTTTTAAAAGCAACCTGAAACTCTCCCACTGGGCACCTGCATAATAGATAGGGTGTATCTAGACGTGTACTCACTTATTTTCCCACAAAGACTAACATTTCCCTTGTTTATGGTATGCAAATTCGAGATATTGTTTATTCTCATAATTATACAGTTTGACTGCTTTTCTTATACTCACTTTCATGAGATATACAATGTAATACCGATATAATAGCATAATTAATAGAAATACTAATGAGTTCTCTTTACTAAATCAAGCAATATTAGCAAGACTATTACTAAGGCAAAAGCTTAAAAAGCTGATTGCTGTTCATCTGTAACTTCTGGATACATATATAATTTAGATTTATCATAGCCCCAGGTAAATCTGGTATGATTATAATAATTTAGCAAGTAAATTAATTAAATGACGATATCTTGAAGCGTTTAATTTCGTTTTGATAGGTTCGACAAATATGCCCTGTTCATATAATTTATGATAAATTCCACCTTACATGCAAAAACCTAACAAGTGCTCAACCTGATTCGGCAACGAATTTCTTGGTCATGCATTTTTTAATGTCTCTCATTTATGCAACATAGGATGAATTTCCTTCATAATCGTAATTATCCAGGAATCTCGTATGTTAAATATGATTATCAAGTTGATCTTTCACACACCCTAAGGCGTGACTTATTCGCATCAGCATCTCCATTTAATCTATGAAGTATTAATCAGCAATAATTGAGCTTGTATCACTTTTTAAACTACCATGTAATATGATTATTTGCGCTTAGTTATAACCAAAGATACCACTATGATGCTCCACAAAATAAAATGGTTTGATAATTTACCTGATAAAGCAAATACCGAATTAATATGTATAAATACAGTGTTAATTAATTAATTAAATCTAGCCATACCTGCGTGCGTATATATATAATCTGGCCACAAGCAGAGCCTTTTAAGGATTAACTGTAAACACAAGTATTTTACCAAACAGTGACTATTTAAAGTTATGAAACCGATAATAGATGGGAACTGTAGGTGAATATCAATAATTAGGAGATCACCAGTCTGTTTTTTGTAGGTTATTGATGCTAGTTATATGAGACAGCAGAAAATGCTTCGGCTAAGTTCATTCATTCATGGAAGAGTGATCAATGATTTGGATAGGCCAAATTGCAGGAACATGAAAGCAAAACATCCAAAACATCCAGATTTCAAGCTGAACATCAAAGTTATTTTGACTTTCAGACAATTAGTTAAGGTATCTATATCCAGTTGATGCTATCGTTATTTATATATTTTATCGTCCAAAAACAGATGCTTACATCCCAGAACAGAGGTACACAAATTTATATAATATGTTTTCACCCTATTTCAGTAAAGGTTACGAAGGACTGGTATAGAATTTTTCCTCATTGATATGAGAAGAATTGACATTTCCACTGAATTTCACATAGCCTTGCCTTCCAAAATTTTGTTCTCATCCTAGGTGGACTGCAGTTTCATCCTCGCCTAGGTCTTATTCATACCCCCAGCGGGAATCGAAGTATCACAATGCAGCATCTTAACTTGACGCGTTAACAACTCAGCCACATTGCAAGAGTGTCTTTGGGTCAGATGGCAGATGAAAATTTCAAAGGAGTCCAAACCTTTTCCTATATCACATTCTTTGACGCGACTGTAGATGAAGCAAACATATTTTTGCTATAAAAATCGACTAAACTATTTATTTTTCCTATATAAGTAGAGTTTTGAGACTACCAGTAGATCAGTTATATGAGATACATTCACCCTATTTCGTTAAAGATAATGAAGGACTGCTAGTAGAATTTTTCCTCCAAAATATGAGTATAGTTGATATTTCAATTGAATTTCACATAGACTTGCATTCCCGAAAGTTATTCTTATCTAGAGTGGACTGCAGTTTTAGATCTCGCCTAGGCTTATCAACACACCCAATGGGAGTCAAACCATGACAGTGCATGAATACTTCTTGAAAACCTACTTAAAACGAAATACTCCATGTATGCACAATGTGAATAGAGGGAGTACCGGCATATAATCTATGTTAAGACTCAAGACCAATTCAGATGAGAGTTCAGGTTGAGCCATCATTATGCGTGTGACAATAGAAGAATGCTCAAGGCTAATGTGTAACTTTGGCGGGAGGTGGATAATTGAATAAGGTTATATGTATCGTGTTAGTACTCAGCATAATAATACTAATTATACATAAGTCCATAGTCTTGGTGAGCCTAGAGTAAAATCTGTACGTGTTTCTGGTATGCATTCCTGTAGGTTACATAGCTATGGTAAGAGATTTCTTACTAAATAGACCTCCTCCCATGTTTAAAACCCCTTCATTTGAGTTGAACGTAAAATGACAGAATAGTCCAGTAGAGCTTATCCTAATGAGAATGGAAATAAATCTAACTTTTAGTATGTTTCAGAGAATACACATAATTCAGATCAGTTTCGTGAATTGTAGGAAGCTCTATACGAACTATACCACTCAATTATATTAAGTCAATGCATAACTGCTGCCAAATTTAAGCAGTATATTATAAGTATCATATAGTAGGAATTTAAACTGAAGAGGTTTCAAAAGTTTTAGGGAAACTTCAAGTCTTAACGATAAGTGGTACACAAAAGATGTGATAATATTGTTTATGTTCAATGGTTATCAGTTTAAAGCAATCGGCTATATTTAATATATTTTTAAATAAGCATTGCGGTATACCCTAATAGTAAACTTGCCTGAGAATGATAGTAGCGCAGTTATTGTTACTGTAATTTTTAGTTATCGAATAGACCAAAGCCATTTAGCTGACCGTCCTTTATTTGCGCATTGCATTA